GGCCCTCGGCCGCGGGCGGGGTCTGGCCCGAGGGAAGGGGCCGGGGAGGTGTTGGAGCGGTGTCCTTGGGACGGTACCGAAAGCGAAGCGGTGCGTTCCTCGGCGAGACCGGCCGCCCCCCCGGCGGGGCACTCTCCTCTGCAGCTTTGTTGTGTTTCTGATCCAGGAGAGTGTGGGCTGCTGCTGGCAGCTACAGGATGAAGTCGCCTCCCTGCTGCATGTCTCTTTCTTCCCAAGCATCCCTGGAGGAACCCAGGAGTAGCACGTCCCTGGGCTCCCTGGACTCCAGTGTTTTCTCCAGCGAGGAAGAGCAAGGGCCCCTGCTTCAGAAGGTCATTCCCTCTTTGGACTGCTTTACTATCAATGTAGGAGGCAGCCGCTTTGTGATGTCTCAGCAAACTTTGTCTTGCTACCCTGACACGCGTCTTGGCAAACTGGCTGTAGTGGTCTCTGCTGCCCGGGATGTGGCCTCTGGCCTCCTTGAGCTTTGCGACGATGCCAATCTCGTGGAGAATGAATATTTCTTTGACCGGAGCTCACAGGCATTCCACTACATCCTGAATTACTACCAGACAGGGAGGCTGCATGTGATGGAGCAGCTTTGTGCACTCTCCTTCCTCCAAGAGATCCAGTACTGGGGTTTGGATGAGCTCAGCATCGCTTCCTGCTGCAGAGACCGGTGAGCTGTGGGAGAAGCAGCGTGCGGGATTGTGGGCTGGGTGAGCTCGGCACTGACATGTGCAGGGATGCTCAGGTGAGAGATCCAGCAGCTGAGGTAGGTGAGGTAGCAGAGTATTGGGAAAAGTGTGCTCAGAGCTAGATGAGTTCAGCCCTGAATCCTACTCTGGAGGTGAATGGGTGTTAAAAATAGGAGGAGATGTGTTGAGTAGTGTCACTGTTGACCTTTGCTGAGGGACAGGCTGGTGTTGGAGTCAAGATAGTGAGATCCTAACAGGAGGATGATCTGGGTTGTCCTGCACTGTCTTGGACCTGGCCCCAGACAATGTCAGAGATGAAAAAGATTGTGAGAAGAGAGATGTCCATTCCATCATCCATTTTGGGGTTATCCTAATTAGAGAGATTGGATGTGGTGTCAGGCATGGTGCTGGGAGGGTTTGGAGCCTCCCCACCCTGCACTTTCCATTCTGGAGGATTTCCAGATCTGAGCTGGAGAGGCAGAAGAGGGGGTGGTCACCTGCCAGGCTGAATGTGGGTGGCATGGCTCCAGGAGGAGCCGTGATGGGAAGCATCACACATGGATGTAGCAGCTTACAGGGAGGGGGCAGCAACGGTGGGAACATGGCTCACTGGAGACAAATTGTAACAGGCAGCTTAGGAGCGAGGTGGATTTCAACTGAACCACCCCCAGGATGTTTCTGTTAATTCTATTTGTAGTTATTTTTTTCTCACCATTTTTAGTGTTACTGGTTTGTTTGCTAGTACTGAAGAAATTAATTCTATAAAGAGTATAACTGCTATTTTATCTAAAGGATTTACGTCAAAATTACTGGAAAGAAACAAACAAACAATCCCAGCTCAAAAGGATACTGAAGTTATCCTACCCTGGCATGGTCCATTTCTGCAGCTGAGCGCTGGATCCTGGTTTTCATCCCTTTCTTCCTCCCCTGGTAGATGTAACTGAAAGCTCCTACTTCCTTGCTGGCCCAAAGATGAAGGAGCTACAGACCTCTTCAGCATATGCAGGAGTCACTGTGTATCAAATTAAGGCAAAATTTCGTAGTCTCTTTGTGTAAGGCTTGAGATTTGCAGCAGTCAAAAGATACAGATATGAAAGGAAAGGGTTTTTTAGTATACATTGTGAATGGTTCTGTTTCATGTTCTGTAAATACACTCTTGCTGAAACAAAACACTCAGCTAAGCATTTACCATGTAAGTTTTACTCAGCACAGATGCTTGTGCACTTTGTGGTGTGAGAACTCATATATTTAAAGAAACATAACTTAGCATGTATTGATGAGAAGTTCAACCATAAACTGCATGGCTTTTATTATGCCTTCCCTTTTAGTACTGCAGATACACACCAATGTAATAAAAATGCAATATAATTAATAAAATTGAGAACAATTTAGAAACAGAGGGTCTGGTTGTGCCAGGATTGCTTACAAGAATGCACGTTAGTCACGCAGCAGACCCTGCGGTAGTCAACATGATCCATGTAAATAATACGCTATCCAAATAAAATTCCTCTGCACATACAAACTGTCACTAATGTGAAATGGCAGAATAGATGTATCAGATCAGTGGAAACATACTGCAGAGTCTCAATTAATAAAATCTTCAACCATATTGTTGTCGTAAGGGTTTTCTGAGTTCATGTAAGGTATGTTTTAACATGTATTCTTATGCCTTGTGTGACTGAGGCTAAGAAAGATGTATGTGTGTTGGTATTAAAAATCTCTTTGTGGGGGTTCCTGGGCAGGTACTTCAGAAGGAAGGAGCTGAGTGAAGCCTTAGACATCAAGAAAGATGCAGAAGAACTGGATGCCCAAGATGAAGAAGAGGACTTTTCTGGTAGCCTTTGTCCCAGTGTCAGACAGAAACTTTGGGAAGTTTTGGAAAAGCCTGGCTCCTCTGCAGCAGCCAGGACTTTTGGCACTCTGTCCATGGCTTTTGTTGTTGTGTCCATTGCCAACATGGCCTTGATCTCTGTTGAGCTGAGCTGGCTGGCACCACCACTCCTGGATGCCCTAGAGTACCTGTGCATTGCGTGGTTCACTGTGGAGTTTGTTCTGAGGTTCCTGTGCGCACGGGATCGGTGTCGCTTCCTAAGGAGTGTGGCAAATATCATAGACCTCCTTGCTATTTTACCTTTCTACATCACCCTGCTGGTGGAGAGTCTATGTGGTGGGGAGAGCTCCCAAGAACTGGAGAACGTGGGGCGCATTGTCCAAGTGCTGAGACTGCTCAGAGCCCTGCGGATGTTGAAGCTGGGAAGACATTCAACAGGTACTTTGAGCCATGGCAGTGCTTCTTGGTGTTAGTGCCTGCAACAGTTGTCCCTGAGCATACTCCTGCATTTTGTGTGTACTTCTGCCTAGCCTTTTTTACCTGATCTATTAGCAGTATATGGGTAGTGAAAAAGCTTACTTTTGGACATTGATAATCGAGGGGCAGAGGCCTTCACTTGTAAATTTTAGCTCTTCATAAAGCCAGTGTATATTGTCTGCATGGAACATTTACAAAAACAGGCCCCAAAGTTGCACACTGCAGATCATGCACCAGTCATTCACAATGTCATAAGTTTACAAATGTGTATCTGAGTTGGTTTTATTAGGGATGAAGCAAGGAAAGAAGGGAAGATCATTGGCCCACACTGTTTTTATTATCAAAGGCCCACTAATGAAAGTTTATAATTACCTGTAACTATTTGTTTTGTTAAAAAGTATACGCAAAGAAATCTATCAGGATTTTGTCTACATCATAGATCCTGAAAACAACTATGGTAGAGAATGTTTCAAGAAAACTTTGAGGCAGTGGATTGAAGGTCTCTCAGGCCCCGTTGAACACACTGGGTATGTGGAGCACAGCTGGAGGCTGCTTACTGACTCAGACCTAAGTGCAGCACAGAGCAGCAGGGTCAGGTTCAGTCACTCACTGGTGTAGGGCTTTTTCTGTCCAAGAGCTCCTGACAGGTCATCAGATGGATGAAGAGCAAGCAGGGGTAGGATGGAAAGTGAAATGCATTTCTGAGAACATTTTTGTTCACTCTGAGTGGTGAAAAGAAGGTGTGAAAGGTAATGAAGAAGGTGGAAACAATTGGAAGGTGTTGCATTTCCCCTTCTTTGTGTGATTTTTAATTTTTACTACTACTTCATGACATGTCCATGCCTGGCTATATGAAAGAATAAAAGCTGTACTCCCACCACACCCTCTCCATGCCATGATGTTGTCCAGTGCTTGGCATATTCAAAATTATTTAATTATGTTCCCACTTAAATCACTGCTGAATATGGTGCTGAATTTGACAGGAGGAATGTTCAGCCAACACACATGGAGCTTTGAAAAATTAGATCCCAATAGTAAATCTTGGTCTCTGTCCTGCAATATTACCCTGTTCTGAAGACAGTGATAATGGTTCTTATATCACACTCAATATTACCCTTCCAGGATTTCCAAGCATGCAGCAGCAATGGGTTGATGCCTTTCCATTTTTTTTTTTTTTAATAGCAATCTTCATCCTCTGTGACCTGGCCCCAATTCAGCAGGCATTTTATCATGCTTGCAGCAGTAGGATGTGTCCCTATCTTTTTGTTCGCACTGAAGAGCAGCAAACTCACCTACCAATGGCAGGGAGTAGATTTAATGCTACTGAGAATTATCATAGTGGTTTGGGAAGTATCTTAATCTTACTTGTCTACCCTAGATTATGGCTATACTGATGCAGAACTGAAAGCAGCTGAAAGGAAGCTTGCAATGATTCAGTCTGTCAATGAGTTTGTTTTGCTTCCTTCTAATTTTTGCAGGGCTCATTGGGGTTTTTTTTGCAAGAAAGGCTGATGCTCACTTTCAATGCTAGCTGCAATGTGAATGCATTCCTCACTAATTTTGAAAAGGAGAAAAAGATTTAACTTGTCCAGGCACTTTTGTGCTGAATAATGAAATAGTGATCCAAAAGTATGTTGATTCTAGCTATAAAGTTTCCGGTTTATCACATTTTACTGTTACAAAATGAATGCATGAAACTTAGTTTTATGGCTCTTTCTGTCAACTTGAAATGAGATGTTTCAGATGTTTGTGTAATTGTTAACTTCATGTATTTTAACTTTAGGGAGTGGTCTAAACTTTTGTGTCTATTTATTCTTATATTCATTTAAATATTACCACATTTTATGTCACAATATTAAGTGCCATTGATATTGACTTTCATAATTCCATGTTAGGTAGAAGTGAACTATATAACACTCTAATCTCCTGATCTGGAAGTGAGCTATCATCTTTCTACTGGAGCCAAAGTACCAGTTGCAGCACAGGAGGAGACAAATGTGTCTATGTAAGCCATCCAGAGCAGCGTTGCTGTTGCTGTGCTAGCTTCTTTGGTAGTTCAGTCCGTGCCTGCTTAGGCCCAGAACACCAAATCAAATCTGTATAATTTAAACGTAGGAAGTCACTATTTTGCAAGATGAAACATAGCCCTAGTAAATGAAAGCAGAAACACACACTGGCAGGTCTGAAGCCCTGTTTCAGACCACTGGAGTTACGTAGCAGAACAGTTTTGTTAACGTGGTTCTAAACACAACTTTAACTGCAGCTGCTAATAGAAGATGAACCCCATAAGTACCATACACAGACACCATACTTCTTGGACATACCTAGGCAGTCCTGATAAATCTTGGTGTTTAGGGGTGGCTCTTGAAACAATCTTGCTCTCTTGCCTTGGATCTGGCAGTTTAAAGCTACCTCCCAGTGTGACTTCTCTCTGACTCCTTCACGCTCCACTGCTCACCTGCTTTGTATGGCCAAAAGAGTGCAAGATCAGAAGAAAAGAGATGAGAAAATCTGTGGCTGCGGGCAGCAACTTCTCTTCCACCAAGCAGGAGTGTACACAGTCACAAGGAGAACATCTGCATAATACTATGCAGATCTAGAGCAAAGTTGGGATCACTACAGCCACCTGGGCCTTCTCTTGGAGCAGAAATTAGTTAGGAAAACCCACATCAATTCTTTAAAGAAATGGCAACTTAACCCTTTTTGCAGGGAAGGGTCAGAAGAAGAAATGAAAGAATAATTTCTGCCTCTTTGAATGCTGAACCCAGATAATAGGAGGGATGTGATGCCTAAAATCACCTGACCTGGACTGTGTAATTATTTATGCAAAGTGCTATACTTCACCAAGGAAAACTGAGAAACCAGTAGTACCTCTGCAGAAAAATGTGTATTTCGAGGGTCAGACCACTGTTCTGAGATACCAAAATTACAGATTCGAGTGGTTTCAAGAATAGCTGAGAACTGAACCTGCACTTCTCACATTCTCTGATGTTAGCTTCCTCCTAGGGCCATATTTTTTTTTGAAGCCTTGCTGGTCCTCCTCTGGGAAGCACTTACAGATTGACTACTTAAGGAGAAGTAGGATGTGAGCATCTTAATTTGTGATGGCAATAGGCATAGTTTTGAGAGAAGGCTGTAGCATGTATCAGGATGAGATGCCTCTGGATTCATGGAAAAGCAAAACTTGAGCACTTTCAGTGCCAAAAACTCAGGGTGATTTAAATGCTGTGTGTAAACTGAAGCTCCCAGACATCAGCTTCTATTGCCAAGTCTCTTTGGTCAACAGAGAGAAGGAACTTGACCTACATGGCAGAAACACTTCTCATTCCTCGTGCTGGCCCCAGGGCTGGGGCTGCTCACCTGCACTATGCCAGCTCTGTTACAGCACCTTGACTGCTTCCAGCACGAGTAACCAAGCTGTTACATGGGAAGTCATAAGACTTGCTGAGGTCTCTGTGCTGGAGCAGCCCTAGTTTGGCTGTGTGATAGGGCTCAGAGACGTTTTTGAAAGTTACAAAATACAGAATACATATTATTTTAAATACACCGACTGATTCCCACTTAGAATTATCCAGGGAGTACAATAACTTGTCTGATTCATAGATCTATCTGAAAATGTCTCCTGACTTCATCTGAAGATGTGAAAAGATATATTTTTGTCTTAATAAGAATAAAATAACAAAGAATAATTTTTTAAAAAAATCAGATTCAGGAACAGTCAGAATAATTAAACATAGGAAAAATATTTTACTGGAAGTGTCATCAATGTGAATCCAAGAGTTAGCAGTCAGTGCCCTGTTCCTCCTTATTTTGACGTGGTTTATGTGAGAGCTGCACTGTGTTTTAGCTATAGTATGCTCAGGATGTGTCATAAGGGGCAAATCCTGGCTTTTAGAGTACTCATTTATGCTTTGAAAAGAAGTGCTACAGAGGTAATTCTAGATTGGGGTACCTTCTTCCTAGGTCACCTGAAAGGATTTATTCTTCTGGTTTGTTTAGTAGGAGGTTTTGCAGGGCAATGTTTGATAGTAAGTACCTTGGAAGATGAGAATTTGATCTGGCCCCTTACAATTGTCTCACACTGCTTTTGCACTGCTGATATTCATTCATTTTCAAAATGTGGAGGCAGTCATTAAAAGAGACAAGATTATGCTGGTATATCTTATTCCCCTTGTGTTGCAGATTTAAACTATATCGTAATAAACATTCTAACCAACAGATCATAATTATAGTAATATAAAGCCTGGATATGGGCAAGTCCTTAAGAGGAGCTGTTAGAAGAAAACACTGAAAAAGCAAACATTCCCTACAAACTCTAGTGTACTTCCACTGTTTGCTGTACATTGAAAAAAAAAAAAAAACAAAACTTTAAAACACAATAGACCTGAAGGGGAAAAGAAAAAGCCAAGAGCAAGAAGAAATTTTAATATCTTGTAGTATGAGATTGAGGAAAGAAAAGGAAATTGAATTGCTTATTACACTAATGAGCGTATTGAAGTCTGCAAGCAGAGGCAGAGCTCCACTAAGCTATTTTGCAAACTCTAGTTTAGTTAGACCTGTACCTCATGAAGAGTAATCCATAAGCATTGTGTTTTTCTCATTTATAAAAGAAAACATATCACATTTTTAAAGAACAGTATTAAAACCCAACCTAAAATCACTTGTGATTCAAAAGGTAGTTTCAGTCTCCTCTTGTGCCTCAGCTGAGTTGATGCTCTGTTGCCTTCCTTCTTTGTTTATGTGTGCGACATTTATCCATTACACAGTTACTGGATTTACTTTCCTGAAGCAATACACTGGTGAATTAGTACAACCCCATGTTGGCCTTGGGAAGGTTTGCTGCCTCTGGTTTTAGCACAAGTGCAGCTGCTTCTGGAAAACTGTATTTGTTTTGTTGTCTGCAGATAAAGATATTGAAAGGTTTTGGGGAGAAAAAGGGGTCGAAGAGAGGCTATAAAAGTATTAAGAACTATAAAAGGATTGAAAACAGACCTTAGCAAAGAAAAAGTTACAGAGTGACTGGGCTGGGCCCTAAGCACCCACCTGCGAACACGGATTTGGTAACTGAATATCACTTGGTCCAACAGAAAAATACGACAGTGGCTAAAAAACAGGAGCTTGGCGAATTCAGACTCAAAGTCAGGAGCAAGTGTTTTTAATAAGTTTTTAAATGGTTATTTAGATAACTTATTAAAAACTGTGCTGGATCTTCTGATATAGCTAATTGTTTGTTTTGGGTTTTTTTCTAAATTATATGAATGCATAGTTCAAACAATAAGTAGTGAGAATTCCTATGCTCTGTTATTAAGGAAATGGAGATGACAGCAGTGGTTAAATCTAATATTTTAATCTATTTCTTTAAACCGCATTCTCCCCGTAGAGTTGAGAGCAGCACCCCTTCTTCTTAAGGCATGTTTGCTGTCAGTCAACTATTATATAAGAATTGTTTTGCAGAAATGTTACGGCAACAGGTCCATGAGTCAACCTACTGAGAGCATTTCTTCTCTTTCAGGCTTGCGGTCTCTTGGGATGACTATTGCACAGTGCTACGAGGAGGTTGGCCTTCTGCTGCTTTTCCTCTCCGTTGGAATCTCCATCTTTTCCACTGTGGAGTACTTTGTTGAGCAAGGTGTGCCAGGCACAACTTTCACAAGCGTACCTGGTGCTTGGTGGTGGGCAACAACTTCCATGACAACTGTTGGTTACGGTGACATCAGACCAGACACTACCATTGGTAAGGTAGTGGCCTTTATGTGTATACTATCAGGAATACTGGTTTTGGCTTTGCCAATAGCTATAATAAATGACCGTTTCTCTGCCTGCTACTTTACCCTGAAGATAAAAGAAGCCGCTCTTCGGCAGCGTGAAGCTTTAAAGAAACTGATGAAGAACTCTTCCAGTGATTCCAACATCAACATTAACTTACGAGACATATACGCACGCAGTGTCATGGACATGTTGCGGTTAAAAAGCAGAGAGAGAGCAAGTACAAGGAGCAGTGGAGCAGATGATTTTTGGTTTTGACTTAAGTTATTAAGCCTTGTATAGCAAATAGACAACTTCAGATCTGTAGTATTAAGCATCTCTTTTTTTATTATTTGCCATATAGCGTTTTTGCTTTTCCAGCTGGAGTTTTGCTTACCTGGACAAGCTGAGGTAGCTATTGTAAACAAAAGGCAGAATTTGTAAGATAGAGTCTCTCAAGAAGCTCTGAAACCTGTTCCAGAACTGGATTGTGGTGGGTTTAATGGGAAATACCAGGTCCATCAAAGTAAAACAATGACACAAACACTTGTCTTATGTCCTTGCTAATGTATTATAATAAAGTCTTAGTGAAAATTGCCACTGTGCTTTGAATTTTAAAGATCTGTAAGATTTGTATTTGCATTGGAAGAACAAAAGTGAAAGAATAATTGATAAGGGAAGTCTAAGGAAGTGGAATGTTGAATAAACATGGATGGCGTTCCTATGAAGAGCTTCATCTTGACCTGCTTTCTTATCCCCATCTTCTACTCCATTTGCATGAAAAAGGGGTTAGTAGTCGCTGGAAGGTAGAATTGCCTCATTTGAAGAGAAACAAAAGGCTACCAGTTACATGGCTGGCATCAGGAGACAGGTGAAAGTATTGAGCAGATGCAAGATCTGCAGCAAAGTATAAAATAGTCATGAAGTATGTGCCATAATGTAGAGCATCCTCTGCAGCTGCACTAGGAGTTGCAAGAGCTAATACAGCATAGAAGTAATTTGCAGACTAAATTTAAACTATGCTTTCTCTGTGTATTTTGATTCCCGTAGCTTATTTGTGTAGCTAAGCAGTTTCTGTGCTCAACTCAAGTCACCAGTGGATATCAAAAGAAACAGAAAAAGATGAAAAGCTACTCATTTCTCTGTCTTCCCTTAAAATGAGTATGTATTCCAAGTGGGCCAGATTTTTTAAAATTAATAATCCTCACAGATGCATCATGAGAAAAATCATTCATCAAAATCTTTTGTTCCAAAGGCAAATTGGACTGTATGCTTAGTTTAATGCAGTAATCAAAGTCAAAACAATCAAAGGTATTTTCAGTCAAGTTTCTCACCACTTACTTCTGCAGTGGCCCAATGTCATTCTTAGTAAACAAAGCTTTTCTTTAATATAATTTCACTGTCCTAGACTATGACATTTCTACAATATGCATATAACTTAACTAGTAGGTTAAATAAAAAAAATCAGAAACTTCTCATTACACTTTTCTTTTGGGCAATATAACTACAGTCATTATTTACATTTGACATTTACTCACAAAAAAAGAAATATCTGTTAACTGTGGATTGTTTAATTTTATAAAGCATTTAGGTATATAGAAGGCTTAAATTGCCTTTGAGGATATGTGAATGGGCAAAATAACTTGCTTTTAATAAACACTGAATAGTATTTGTTTTGAAACAAGTGTGTTTTCCTCCCATTCTCTATAAATGCTGGTTTAAACATAAAACAGCAAGTAATACTTTCAAATGCTCCAACCTTGATGGAAACTGAGTAGGATTTCAGCATGAAACTTCTGATTTGCCCACTGGCATCGGTCAGCATTTGGATTTGGGGCCAATGCAGTACAAACAGCTGTCACCAGGGACAGAAGGAGGCCAAGGGTAAACAGGAGACCAGAAGAGTGTGTCCTACTCTACTAGACTGCCTGGGTGTGAAAATTCATACGTCAGCCTTATGGTCTGTGTTACACAGAGAGCAGACTGTGTTATCACAGTGTTCCCCTCTGCCCAAATACTCTACGAATCCATCACAAAACTCCTGTTGATGTCCGTGAGACAAAATGAGTTCTGCAGGGGGAGGTTTGGTGCAGCCCACTCCCGGGCATTATTTCATAGCTCCTCAGAGCAGGAAGTCTCTCAGGCTGCACAAATCGTACAGGCTGTTTCTCATTCAAAAGTCATTCTAATTATAGAGAATTAGGAAGAAGCTTTCATTGTAGGAAGGCTGTTTTGTAATGTCTTTTGTGCTTTCTTGTACGGCATCTGATCTCTGATTAGGAAAGGAAATGCAGTTAACTGATCAGGGCTGATAGCTCTTTAGGGAAAGGCTGCTCTTATTGCATCCTATGTTTTTTGTGAAGGACTCAAAAGAACAAGATGAACGTTCTGGGATGTATCAGTTGATTCACTCCTTTCACCAGCTCTGCAGATAAAGTTTCCTAGAAATGCTCATGGGGAAACATGGCTAAGACTTTATTCAGTAGCTGATTTGACTTCCATTTGCACACCTCTTGATTTTAAATTCAAATTCTCCCAAGAAGTGTTTGTCAATCACACTGCTTATGCAGCAAGGTTATCTATCACATTATAGGCTGAGACTAGCAAATCAGTTTGCAGGTGAAGGCCAGTTCTACTTCCAGCTCTTACAGACAGAAGGACCAGAGCATTCATAGCAAGCAACAAACAGAACATGACATTACCACTCTGAAACGTGAAGATACACCATGTACTTACTACCACAGATCAGTCACCAATAAGGCACCAAATTAAGGATGTTTCTATGTTATCTTTAGAATATCACACTGAAGATGAACTATCTTCTGTTCTATATCTGCCGTTTCCAGCCCACAGCACTCTTGGCAGAGAGGATCATGTGTTAGAACATCAGTAACGCTGGCTGAAAAAGCAAATATTTTCAAAAACTGGTATCAAAGTAGCTGCAGCACTTAGAACAGGTCCTCATTAACTTTGGTTCCCTACTACAGGAAACAAAAATTGTGAAAATACAATGGCATAGAACACAGTGCAGACTAGCAGTCTGAAAAATCTTGTATATTTGCTTGTAGATGCTTAGGGGCAGCTTTTGACTGGGGACAGAGTGGTCCAACCCCATCAGAACTTCTAAAACATCACTTAAATTATTCTTTGTCATTCTCACTCAGAAGAAACCCAACAGCCTCCTTGGGGCACACCAGGCAGAGCACTGTCAGCAGGTTAAGGGAGGTGGTCCTGCTCCTCTGCTCAGCCTTGGTGAGGTAAATCTGGGTCCTGTGTGCAATGCTGGGCATCTCAGTAAAAGAAACACAGAGACATACTGGAGATAGGTCAGCAAAATACTGCAGTGCCAGGCTGCAGAGAGCAGCACGTCAGGGAACCCCCCTGTCCTGGAGAGGCGGGTCTGCTGGTAGCTGTGGGGCATTTATCACTTCTGGCAGTAAGCTATAGAAAGGTATTTAGAAATTTGTGTTGGGCAGTATTTTACAAATACCTAAGATTGTGATTTACCTGTTTTATTACTGATATTGATCCTGAGTGAATAGTTCACTGATCACTGGTTAACTATGCAGTGTTAGTAAGTCAATAAAGTAAATTTGAATCTTGATTTAATATAAGCTGTGTAAGTTGAGCAATTTTGCCCTAAAACAGGAGTTTTGCTACTAACTCTGAGCTTGTGGGATAGCTGTGCAGCAAGTCTGACAAATAGGATTGAGCACATAAAATACCAAAAAGGCAAGGAGAAAATAACAAAGTCTTTTACAAAGTAACATCCATTTATTTTCATTGTCTGCCTCACTGCAGAAGGGGCAGAGCAGTGCAGACTGTAGTCACACTTCTGATTGCAGACAAGGGGTCTCCAGGGCTCTGGGCTGTTGAAAATATCAGTCACAAAAGAGGACACCTGGAATCAATAACATCTCGAGGACTGAACTGAGTTTTTCAATTACAACATCTTGTCAGGTAGAGTTTTTAAGTTTGAATGAATTCTGTAACTATTACACAAAGCCTTGCCTTTTATTTAAACACAAATAATAGAAGCCACATGCTTCTCCAGACAAAAACAGAGCTGCCATGCACTCAGTGTTTGTAAGAGTTTGATGAGGGATTTTAATTTGATGCCAATAGCAAGCTTGACCTGGTGAGCAGTCAGGGACTAAAGCCATTCGTTCAAAAAATGGATCTTAATCAAAGATTAAACTGAAGAATTCAGTTATAATTAACTTTGTTGGATTTTGTTATATCGAATACAATCTTTTTTTGACAAAGTCTTGACCCGAATTGATAGGACTGCGGCTTCTGCTAGAGACTGGCACTGTCAGCAGGAGGGAGAGCACAGCCCATCTTCTGTGTGCCTCTCATAGGTGTGCTTGAAAAGCATGAGCGTTCACTCCCCTTCCCACAGGAAAACAGGAAGGAAATTTTGTGCAGATGGGTCTCGCAAACTGTCCTATTACAGGATTTATATGTGAGACAAAAAAATTCTAGACTACAACAAAGCCTATTTAAAGCTATTTGTGGCACTATTATCTATTTTACTTCTGATAAATATCTGCTCTGCAGACACCAGGAACCCCTTTAGCTCAGGTGAGGATAAGGAAGGGATCCCACCTAATATCACAAAAGGAGGCCCAATACCAGTCAAGGTAAACATCAGCTGTTCACAGTCTTTCTCAGGTCCCCAAGAAGTTGCCTGTGAGATGGACTTATACCAAACAGTGAGGAACTCAGAACAGCCTGAAGTTAAATTGGGTCTTTTAAAATGCCTAGAGTTGTGTTCATCTAATTAAACTTATGCTACATGCCTATTATGTGAAAAAAAACCATGCCTTTGTAATAGCTTCTCAAAATGAAATCATCTCCCTTATCAAGCAACACAAGACTCCTGCAAATGTAAGATTTTCTCCAATTATACCTAATTTTGTATAGCTTTTAATAAAATTAAAAGTGCTTATAAGTCATGTGGTATTACTGTGTAGTCCTGTAAGCTGATACATGTTTAATTTCCAACAGCTTGACTCAGCAAGACAGTTCTGTTTCCAGCTCTGTGCAGCAGAGATAGATTCTGGGAAATGGCTAAAATGTGCATGACTCTTTACTACCTAATGCATGAAGCAGTTTCTCAGGAGAGCTTGGAAGAGAATTCAGAATGGCCTCTTGCAATTGCCATAAAAAAGAAGCACAATGAATTGATATGTCCTAAACACATTTTTTTCAATACAGACAAAAATTCAATTGGCTTGAAAACAGTTAAAAGATAACTAATGAAATCACTCTTTGTAGCT